CCGGCACAACGCTTCCTGCGTGACGTACCATGGTCATATATGCCAAGTGCTAAAACCACTACATAAACCAAAGAGAACAAGAGAACACTACATCGGTAGGTTCATCAGAGCCTTCCGGTGGTACTCTAACTCCTCTCTGCCAAGGACCTTGATAAGTATGTCGGCGTGCTGCTCTCCAGTCGGAACATACTCTGCAGTGATCTTGCCCGACTTGAATAGCTCGCGAATGAAATGGAACCGCACGTCGATGTGCTTGCTCCTCGCTGAGCTGAACGGGTTCTCGATTAAGGCGAGAGCCCCCTTGTTGTCCCCAAGGACCTTGATCTTCGCCCCACTCGTCTCGGGCGCTATGAACGACAGAACGCCACGCACAAACAACGCCTCCTTCACGCCCTCCCCGGCTGCCATATACTCTGCTGCCGAGGTCGACTGAGCCGTCACTGGCTGCGTCTTTGGTGGATACACACACTACGGTATCACCTACTACGGTCCCAGCTAGCTCGGTCGTAGAACGCCTGTCTACTTCGTTGTCAGCGTGGCTGGCATCGACAAACACGCTTAGGTCTAGTCCTGACCCCCGTACGTAGGTGATGCCGAAGTCCTTCGTGAAGTTCAGGTAGGACATGATCCGCACAAGCGCGTTCCATATCCTCCCGGTGGGTGAGTGGGCGATCTTCTGGAGCTTGTTCAGAGGCAGGGCGATGTCTGGCCTCGTCAGCTTCGTCCACATCAGGCATCCGATCGCCTCCCTCACAGGCTTATCCACCGCGGGCTCGTCATCTCTCTTCGGCCTTAGCTGTGGGTCTGGAAGTGGTTGCGGAGACCCGCTGGCGTCGACCTCGGCCCCGAACGCCTGCTGTTCCGGGCCCAACACCTCCTGCGTCTCGCGCCTGTACATCTCCTCCATACGGCGTGTGTGCTCCTCGTCCCACTGCTCCTTCACAAGCGAGTTGCAGATGTAGTCCTCAACAATCCCCGTCCCGCCAGTTGCCAGGATGGTCGCCAGCAATGCCTCTTCCGGGTCCGGTGTTTCTCCGGGCCCCGGCATCTCCCCGGCACCTTGCATCTCCCAGTTCTGCTTCGGCGTGCGGCCACTCTCAAGCCCATGGCGCAGCGGGCCAGCGTTCGAGGCACCCCAAAGGAGATTCTTCCCTTCTAGCCCGCGGGGGTAGCGGTCGTCGGCTGGATCATACTTCAACTCCTCGAGGTTCTCGGAGTCGCCGGGATCACCATCGCTACCGCCGCCCCCACCTGGGTCGCCGGACTCTTCGCCGCCCGGGCCGCCGGCACCGCCTGCGTCACTGCTGCTGCTGCTGCTGCTGCTGTCGGTGGGGCTGTCACGGCCTCCGCCGAAGTCGCCCCTTCCCGAAGGGGGCGACGCGGGAACGCTGCCTCCGTCCCCCGGACTGCCGTTGCCGGGTGCCGTCGGCGCCTCCTCGCGCACAAACGGCGTCGCTTGCCCTGGCCCACGAGCCTCCATCACGTCGAGGTCGGACTCACTCTCTGAGTCTCTCTCACCCCGCCAACCTTGGCGTGATGCATCCGCTCTGCTCTCGCCCTCCCCTCCCTCCTCGTCATCTGCGAGAGGTAGCAGCTGCGGGGGAGCGGGCGATGCAGCGGGCACGTGGCGCCAGGTGAAATCGCGGGTGGTGATTACGGTTCCAGCTTCGGTTAGCATGCGAACGCAGTCACGGCGGTGATTGTGGGCAGGACCAAGGTACCATCCTTGTTCGCCCTTGGGTTGCGACTTTGCTTTTCTTCTCGACTTGAACACGGCTATCTCGTGGGCATGGCCGTGCGCGAGGTGGTACTCGTTGAGGTCAGTGGGGTTGGCTGCTTTCGCATCGCAAGGAGCAAGGAGTGCGGCACAGGCGGTGTGTAGCGTTGGCTCTATTTGATAGCTTCGTTGGGTCAGCAGCTTTGCAGTCCGGGAGAACCACACCTCCCCCCCCGGCTTTCGTGGTCAGCGTGAGGCCCCCCTTCATCCCCGAGTACGTGTGGCCCTCCTCCGCCAACGAAGACAGCGAGAGGAGGTTGTAGGGGAACTTTGGTACATGGGCAGCATTCAGTACTGGTACGGGTACTCCACCATCTTCCGTCTGTAGGACTAAGGTCACATCTCCGTATCCTAGAAGAGGAACGGGGGCCTTGTCGCCTCCGATCCCCTTCACCCAACCGCTACGCTTACGGTAGCTCACAAAGTTGTCTGCACATCGGAACATGAAGCACGTGGCCGCTGTGTCGGCCACGTACACCGCCTGGTCTTGTTCCACAACCCCCACTAGACCTACTTCACC